ATTTCCTTTTTTTTTTTTTAAGATTTCATTTATTTATATTGGAGAGAGAAAGAGTGCACGAGCGGAGGGAGGGGCAGAGGAAGGGACAGAGGGAGAGGGAGAGAAAATCTCAAGCAGACTCCCCGCTGCGTATGGAGCCCCAGGACCCTGAGATCATGACCTGAGCTGAAATCAAGAGTCTCAGACATTAACTGACCGAGCCACCTGGGTGCCCTTCTTTTTCCTCATTTCTAATATTGAGAGCTGTAATTTTGGGAAAGGTGTCAGATAATTCAAAACTATGACAGCAAATTGGATCTCCGAAAGAAGATGTATTTTTAAGAAAGCCACAGTAAAAATGATTTTAATAATGTTGCAAACAACTATTTACTAGTGTATTTAGAAAATGCTTCTTTTCTTATTAATGGGAAAAACCTTTCAAAATGAGGTACTCCTACTGGTGCAGTATAAGTCATCTGACGGAAGGGCCTACTAGAAGGAGCAGGTAAGATGTGTCTTGAACAAATCAGAAACTGAGAAGGATAAAATGAAGAGGTCATTTCGCTCCGGGACCTCTCAGCCTGCCACCTGATGGTAGGTAAATACTGGCCCTACAGTGTAGTAAGGCTGGGTACAGAAACAAATTCCTTCCTGTCTGACATTTTTGTTCAGGTGAGCAGAGCTTAAACTTGTGTCCCTGGTAATGGCCAACATCCCCTTACATTAATACCAGCTACATCCCCATGGGATAATTAGTCCCATTTTTCTTATTAACTACTCTAATGGGGAAATCCTGGGGGTGAAACCATAGGAAAACTGTGGTAGGTAGGTCTTTTTTTTTTTTTAAGATTTTATTTATTTATTTGAGAGAGAGAAAGAGCAGGAGCAAGGGGAAAGGGCAGAGGAAGAGGGAGAAGCAGACTCCCTGCTGAGCAGGGAGCCCGATGCGGGGCTCGATCCCAGAACCCTGGGATCATGACCTGAGCCAAAGGCAGATGCTTAACCGACTGAGCTGCCCAGGCACCCCAGGTGGGTCTTTTTAAATTTTTTTATTTTTAAAGATTTCATTGATTTATTTGAGAGAGAGTGAGAGCACGAGAGTGCACACACATGAGCGGGGGAGGGGGGGCAGAGGGAGAGGCAGACTCCCTGCTGAGCAGGGAGCCCCATGAGGGACTTGATCCCAGGGCCCCGGGATCATGACCTGAGCTGAAGGCAGATGCTCAACTGATTGAGCCACAAAAACACCCTGGTGGGTCTTTTTTTAATGAAAAATTTTAAAAAAGTCTATTATAAAATATTAAAGTAATGAATAAGATGCTTAAAATAAATTCCATATATGGCTTTCTGAAGTGTTTTTCATTTTTATACTCTAGGAAGGAATTAATGTAAAATTAGTCAATTTATACTATCAGTGTAAGTGATAATAGCACTGCTACTTGCAAAACAAGTAATCCAGTTAGCTGATGGCAGATATTTTTAGTATAAAAAGACATATACAATGGAAGCTCAACTCTGTTAAAGTACCTATACTTTATAAATAAAGGCTCAAGGTAAATACACTAAAATGTTGATCATGGCCATTTCTGAGCAGTAGGATTATGGGAGATTTGCATTTTATTCATATTCTAAATACTGAAAAACAATCACGTATTACTTTTATGATCAAGAAGAAAAATCATTTTAAAAAAATAAGAAAAGTTTGGGGCACCTGAGTGGCTCAATCAATCTTGAATTCGGCTCAGGTCATGATCTCAGGGTCCTGAGATCAGGTTCCTGATGGGTGTGGAAGCTGCTTAAGATTCTCTTTCTCCCTCTCTCTCTGCATCCCCCCCCCCCACTTGTGTGTGCGCTCTCTCCCTCTCTCAAATAAAAAAATACATATATAAGAAAAGTTTTAAATGCTGAAAATAAGTATCTTGAAGTGTGTGGTCCAAGAATGACACTGAGGTTCAAAGAAGCATATCCATTTTCAAATGGTGGGGAAAAGGCCTTGCATGACACAAAATAGCCTGATTCCTTTTTTAGTGTAGCAAAAACAATCCAGGTTTCAGAGTCAAAAGACCTGGCCTTGAATCAAGGTTCTTCCACTTTCTAGATAAGCAGCCTTGGATAAGACAATGAAACTTTAAGATTTCAAAGTATTCAAATCAAATCAAGAAATAAATAAAAATCTGGAAAAATTTGTTTTCATCAATATGATAAAACAATAATGTCAGAAGTATAAGAACTCGTAGTGGAAAAAATGGAGAATTAAGGTAAATTGCTTTGGGGTGCCTGGCTGGCTTAACTGGTGGAGCATGAGACTCTTGATCTCAGGGTCATGAGCTCAAGCCCCACGTTAGGTGTACAGATTAAAAAAAGTTTTGGTTTTTTTTTTAAGATGTTATTTATTTATTTATTTTAGAGAGAAAGAGACAGAGAGAGCACGAGCTGGGAAGGGGCAGAGGGAGAGGGAGAGAATCCCAAGCTGACTCTGAGCTGCGTGCAGAGCTGGGCTCAATCTCATGACCTGAGGATCATGACATGATCTGAGATCAAGAGTCGGATGCTTAACCAACTGAGTCACCCAGGCAAAACCCCCCCCCAAAAAAAATCTTAAAAAAAAAAATCTTAAAAAAATTTTAAGTAAATTGCTCATTTCTCTGAGACCTCCACTGTCCTTACTAGGAAAATGGATCTAAATAACCCGTGCTGCTGTCAGTATTGTAGTGAAGAATAAATGAGCTGATATAGGTCCAGTGCCCAATACTGGGCCCCATACACAGTAGATGCTCAAAAAGTATAGTCCTGGCCTTGCTCCCTGGATGCAAATGAAGATGGGTGGGGGATCTGCACTTCAAAGGGCTTCTCTTCTATGAAGGAAAACAGGAACTATATAGGTCAATGATTATGGGTTTGCTTGTTTGTTTTTAAGTAGGCATGGAGACCAAGTGGGGCTTGAACTCACAACCCTGAGATCAAGACCTGATCTGAGATCAAGAGTTGGATGCTTAACTGACTAAGTCACCCAGGTGACTGACTGTGGTTCTAAATACATACTCTTTTATCTATAAATGTCTCTCCTGAGAGAAATCTTTCAATTGGCTTGTTAGAGGTCTTTGCTCTTGCAACAAGTTTAATAAACCTTAACATGTGCCCATTAACTAAATTGTCAGAATAAATTTTGCTTTTAACCAGGGAAAAAGAGATTATAATTACTACGGAGCCAGTCTTGTGGGGAAAAGAGCCCTCCCTTTGTCCCTTTTCTGGGAGCAAGAACTCCTGTCCCCTTCAAGATCCTTCTAGCTGGACTAAGAATCAAATTGACATGAGATAGATAAATAGGAGAAAATCAAATTTATTTATTTATTTATTTATTTATTTAAGATTTTATTTCTTTGACAGAGAGAGAGAGCGAGAGCAGGAGCACAAGCAGGGGGAGTGGGAGAGGGAGAAGCAGGCCTCCTGCTGAGCAGGGAGCCCGACTGGGGGCTCAATCCCAGGACCCTGGGATCATGACCTGAGCCGAAGGGCAGATGCTTAACGACTGAGCCACCCAGGTGTCCCAGAAAATCAAATTTAATAGCGTAGGTACGAGGAATCCACGCAGACATGGAAACTCCAAAGACAGTTCGGCAAAATGAGGTCTGTATGTCATCCTGAACTAGGAAGGGGTTAGGGATCTGAAACTTCATTGGAAAGGAATACACTTCACAGACAATAAGGAGAACAGATGTTTGGTAATTAGATGTTTGCCCTGCAATACAGGTGGGTCACTCAGATAAAATTTCTCTCTGCTAATAATCCCCAATTTAGATTCTTCTGTGTGGTTAAGGAAGGGACAAAAGTTTCTTTTGAGCTCCCAGGGTCTCAAATGCCTTCAGCTCAAAAAATCCATATGCCAAGTGGCACATTGGGGGCTGGGGGAGAGCTGCTATCCTGAACCCCTGCAATGCCAAGGAAAAGACTAGGTGATGGCGTCTTCTAAAAAGAAAGAAAAGAAAAACGTCCCGGTCTCCATGCAGAGGAAGAAAAGGAGAGGAGAGACTACAGCATCTGGTGTTTGACTGACTTGGAGGCTGAATAATCAAACGGTTCCCAGTGCTTCCAGAACTGTTTCCTTAGCTATCAGATGGGAATGATAGTACCTATTTCACAAGCCTCTTTACTGTGAGGCCTATTGCACAAGCCACAGGCTTTTGCAGAATTGTCAAGTGTTAAACAATTTGAAGATTTAAAACAGAGAATTAATAAATGAATGAAGCAGCACATTGGGGTTTGGCTTTGTCTGCATATCTCAGCCACTCTGATTATCCGTTTGCTTCTCAGAAAACATCCTGGAATGGCTTGAAAGATTTCATCTAATTTTGTTTTAGATATCCTCCATTTCTTTTTTTTTTTTTTTTTTAAAGATTTTATTTATTTATTTGACAGAGGGATAGAGAGAACAGGTAGGTAGAGAGGCAGGCAGAGGGAGAGGGAGAGGCAGGTTTCCCGCCGAGCAGGGAGCCCAATGCGGGGCTCGATCCCGGGGACCCTGGGGTCATGACCTGAGCCGAAGGCAGACGCTTAACCGACTGAGCCACCCAGGCGCCCCTAGATATCCTCCATTTCTTTCCTTCCCTCCCAATCTCACTCTTTACAAAAGGTTGCTGGTACAATTCTGTATATAACAAAACGCACCTTGCTCAACCAGATTAACTCTGTTTCATCTCCCCTAGAATTCCTTCCTTCCCTCTTCATCCTCCCCACCGTGCCAACCCCTCCCTCTTTTCCTCAGTTCTCGCCCCTCCTTTAAGCCTTCAAGAACCCATAGCCCTCTTCCTCTGAATCCCATTCTTTCTATAATGAAGCCTGTACTGTGTCCTTTGTATTTGTATGCTTTCCCCCAATTCAGTGTAATTCCCTGTTTTATTTGACAAGTTATTCTTGTCACACAATACTTAAAAGTGTCTTGCACCTAATCACATTACTAAAACAAATGTTACAAAAATCCTACTCAATTCCCGTATCACCAGATTTTCTCTTCCGCACTTAACTGTCTTTACCCCATCAGCTACTCGATCCCAGCGAAGCTGCCCACAACCCCGCCACGCAGCGCGCGGGCAGCCAGGGCCCGGGCCCCTCTGGACTCTCAGGCCCGGGGGTCCCGGAGGCCTCCGGCAGCGGGTAGGGCCGGGCCGCTTCCGGCCGCGCCGATCCTCCCTATACCCGCGAGCGCCGGGGGACCCCGGACGGGCTCGGCGAAAGGTCGGCCTCCGCGGGGCCGGGCCGAGAGGAAGACGAGGACGCCGCCCGCTTTTGCAGATCCCGGAGCGACCATCCATCGCGGGCCCAGCGGCGACCGCGCAGTGACCGACTGCCACGAAGCGACCGCCACGTCAGGGAAACTTCACAAAACCCGGGCGAGGGCGGGTGACGCAGAGCCGGCGGCCGCGGTGGGGTTGGGCCCGCGGCCAGACGAGGAGGCTGACCTCCAGCCCGGCCGCCCGGTTCAGCGACGCCCCGGCCGGCGCCGGCGCCTGCCCGGCCCTCAGGGAGGCGGGGGGAGCCGCGGAGGAGGCGGTGCCTTCGCAAAGCCCGCGCCCCGCCGCACGCTCACGCTCCTCCCCCAGGCCCCGCCCGCAGTCGGGCCAGGGCTGGGCGGCGTCTGCCGAGGCTCCCTCGGCCCGGCCCAATCGGCCCGAGCCGCGCTGACACCCGGGCAGCTGCGGCGTGGAGAGGTGGAGGCGGCGGGCCGGGAGGCCGGAGCCGGGACAGCGATCCGCCATGGAGACCCGCTACAACCTGAAGAGTCCGGGTGAGCAGGGCTGGAGGCGGCGGGCGGGCGGCGCCGCCAGGGGGGCCGGGGAGGGCGGGGTGACCCTGGGCTCCCGGGCCCGGCGCTGCGGGTCCCTCGCGTCCGCCGCCGCTCGCGGCTCCGCTTCGGGGTTTCGCGCTCTACGCGAGACCGCCGCCTGCCGGGATGGTGCAGGCCGCAGGGCGGCCGGGCGGCCACCGGCCGCCAGTCCTGGGGACCGGCCAGTTCCCCGCAGCACCCGGACTTTCCCTTTCCTCATCTTGGTCGAGTAGTGCTGGGTCCTGAACTCATCCCTAAGAACAGGTGCAAAGGTGATGTCCGTGGGTAATAGTTAACAGTCCCTTGCGTTACCTGAACACAGACCGTCGTTATCCCTTCGTCGCTGCCACCGGACTTTTATTAGCTGTTCGACTCACTTGCATGTGAGGATTTGGTTGTTTAAATATCCCATTTGCAGCATTTGGGGCGAGTGGAATTCCAGACCTAGAGGAAATATTCTGTACTAAACCAATTAACCAAAGAGCTAAGAAAACTAGATGAGCCGTGTACTTTAGAGCTAACCACGATTTCTGCCACGACGACTAACATGATATATATCTATATTCAGTCCTAGAGACTTCCTGTATTTAGCGCCCCTGCTTCATTCACAGAACAGCCCAGACAGTCCTAGCTTCGAGTTCTTTTCTGGTGCATTATAAAGATGCAAGAAAAGTAAGCAGCTGTCTCATATTAAGGCAGGCTGGAAGTGAATCACTCGGGTCTATAAGTGGTATTTATTCTGTCTGCACCTTGATAAATTTGTGAGGAGGGAGAAACTCCACAGTTCAGCTCTAAATGGTAATCCTAGAATATTAGTGATGGTTTGACCAAATATTTGCTGCTGCTTATTTTTTCCTTCCAAGAAAGCATCTTTTCGGTAGGAATCAGCAAGATTAGCATCCTTATGGAAAGAGCTGACATTGTAAACCTTTGATTTTTTAAAAAATACTTAATATATAGAAACTCCAGAAAAGTCTGAGGATATTGACTGAACAGAGCATTGTTAGCTTGAGTGCTGTCAGGCTGAGAAGTGTTCTTAGGTGGCCAAGTGTGTAGAATGGGTCATAACATTTGGGGGGTCCATAGACTGCTTTAAAAATCTGGTGAAGCCTATGGGCTTTCAAGAAATGCATTTATAGGGCGCCTGGGTGGCTCAGTTGGTTGGGCGACTGCCTTCGGCTCAGGTCATGGTCATGATCCTGGAGTCCCTGGATCGAGTCCCGCATCGGGCTCCCTGCTTGGCGGGGAGTCTGCTTCTCCCTCTGACCCTCCCCCCTCTCGTGCTCTCTCTCTCTCATTCTCTCTCTCAAATAAATAAATAAAATCTTTAAAAAAAAAAAAAAGAAATGCATTTATACAATTCAATTTCAGTGGGTTAAGGACCCCCCCCCCAGCCCCACACCCCGCACATCTCTTAAGAACACCCCGGGGCGGGGGTAGGAAAGTAAAAGAGAAAGGGAAAGAAAACCTTAGTTTTAAGGTTAGATGATAGAATGCTTAAGTTGTTTAGATTGTCATAGATTTAAATAAAACTATGTGGGTACAAATGTACGGTGACTACTTGATCACATGGTACCACGTTCCTTAGGACAGCTGAGGTACTTAGTGGAATGTCCAGAGAATAATGGAAATATAAATAGTTGTGCAGTTTGGAATGGAGAACTGGTGGGTCCCAAAACATTGTTGTTACAGCACATTGCTCAGGTTTGATACATTATCATACCTGAGGTTATGAAAAGCTTTCAAAATTTTCCAGAATTTTATACATTTCCAAAGTACATGATCTGTCAGATGGCTGAGCTTTGGTCGACATGCCCCAGTGTTATAAATTGCTTCCTCTTTTTTGGAATCATTTCCTCAAAGGTGGTGTTGCTGTTCTACATGAAATGATTTTTTTAAGATCTTTTTTTGTTTGTTTGTTACCGTGTGGATCATTTGGAGTTCATGGTGAAGGTGAATTAGATGATATATGGGACTTACTAGAAATGCCAGGAGGCATGGTGGAAATGCTTCCTTCCTTTGTTTTATTCTCAGTGCTGTGATATTTTTAGAGTAATGCTTATGTGAAAAAAAGTGGTTAAAAGCACTGCACAATGTAAGAGATAGAACCCTTTCTCTGTAATGTGCAGTTGTCTTAGAGGTATGGATGGTACAATTAAGAGAATACACATAACTGGTTCGGGGCCAGTGTGCTAGCATGTGGATAGTAATTTGTTCACTTGGTAAGTAGGAAAACTGGGGCGCCTGGGTAGCTCTGTCGGTTAAGTGTCTGCCTTCGGCTCGGGTCATGATCCTGGGGTCCTGGGATTGAGCCCCGTGTTGGACTCCCTGCTCAGCAGGAAGCCTGCTTCTCCCTTTCCCACTCCCCTTGCTTGTGTTCCCTCTCTTGCTGTCAAATAAATAAATAAAATCTTAAAAAAAAAAAAAGTAAGAAAACATTTCTTTGTGATTTTTCTGGAATGGACTTGTGGTTATGGGCAAAGCTCTGTATGGAGCCACCTCATAAGCCTCTGACGTAGCTTATCAGTAGGTGCTCTGCATCAAGCTCCCTGATCCCTTTTTGGGTCTGCTCTGGCCAAGGTAGTAGGGTCCCATAGTACAAAGTAGGGAGACCTATGTATAAAGAACCTCTTGTGGCAGCTTTCTTCAGAAGGGCCTATGGGTGTGTTTAGCAGGTGATTGGTGTATAAGAGACTAGTGCAAAGGCACCCACTATCTCCACCAGAAACCTGGGAACTGTCCTATCCATGTTCTTAGTGTGAATTACTGGTGATCTAACAGCTTCACCCAGATTTCCCACAGACTGAAAAAATCTCTACAAGGTGACAAAAAACCGAACTCATCAATTTACTCTCCTCCCCCGGACTTGCACCTCATCCCTTCCTTATTCCAGGGATTGACAGCAGCTAGGCACTTGTGGGAATCATCTTTGATCTCTTGGTCTACACCTTTACTCCACCCCCTAGCCTGGAACACACACACGCAGGCATTCTCACATGGGCACCAGTCCACGCAGACAAGTGTTTATTCAGTCACCATTGTCACCAGATCTAGGGGGTATAGCTCAGGGGTAGAGCATTTGACTGCACCATTGTCACCAGATCCAGTAAAATAAAACTGATCACTCCTCAAATTGAAAAATTTTCAGTAGCTTTCTAATAGCTATGTATAAAGTTCAAAGTAAAGTGTTTAGCTTGGCCTACAGGGCTGCTCATGATTTGATCCTTGCCTTTCTCACCAACCTAGTTTCCTACAACTGTGCTCCTTTGCTTTTTTCCCCCTCCTCTCCTTTGTATTTTTGCCATGTATCCATTTTTCCCAAGTGACTGTCCAGTGAGCCGCTCTTCTCACCTGTATGCTTTGGTCCCTGTTGGAACCTTTGCTTAGAATGGCTTCCCTTTAATCCAATGGAAATTCCCATTCTTCATGCTTCTTTAAGGTTCAGCCTTGCCCAGCTACCCTGGGCAGACTATTAGGTAGACTATAAGGTCGTCCCTGTATTTGTACACACTTAGTGTTTGTATTGTAGTTGTTTTCATGTCTTTCTCACTGTGAGCTTTTTGAAGGCAAGAAGCAGGTCTTGGTTATTCTTCTGTCTCCATCACTCAGACATTCTTTAAATATTTGTTGAATGGGTCGCGGGCAGGGTATTTCCGGCAGGGTATTTCCGGGCAGAAGCACTCGTCCTTAAACATTTGCTTAAGTGCCTTTACTATGGGAGCAGGAGGAGGCACTTGGGGACCAGACATTGGGTTCATATCCTCAGTATACCTGCCTCCTGCATTTTACCTATGCTTTGGAGATTGATTGCATTAAGGTATTTGCTTTCCAAGAGAAATCAGATACATGAGAGACAGTGACCTGTAAAAGATCTCTTTAGCTAAAGCTTTGTCTCCAAAGCCCAGTGTAAGCCTAGTGAGGTAGAGCCTGGGCATGGGAAGATCGCTAATGCCTGGGCCCATGGAGCCTAGAGCCTGGATCTAGAGAGATCATGTGGCCTCCATAAAAAAGAACAAGAGCAGGTATGCAGGTGCTCCCCACTTCTTTCCCTTCCCTGGCACATCTTATCTCACCATGGTAGAAGAGAGGAGCTGATCAGAAAAAGTTTTCTAACTATGTGATAGCAAGAGATGGAGTATCAGGAGTGGCAGACTATGCAATAGCCCCAATTGCCAGGCAGTATTTTGAAACTTGACTATTCCATAGCAGTGATATTTCTCCTTGGGAACCAGAGAGCCATGCCATGAGGCCAACTACATATGCTCACTGCCTGGTTTTGAACCGGGGAGAGAGCCTTATATCCCAATCTATTTCTGACCTTAATACCTTGTGATGGGGGAAGGGGAGAGGGGGAAGGAAGGGAGAATTATATGAAGAAATTATTGACTCCCATTCAATAGGTACAAACATTGAAGAAGAATAAAATTAAGTGATTTATTTAAGGATTTAGAGCTACAAAATGTCAGAGCCAGAAGTTTAATGCAGCCTAATTCAGAGTCCATATTCTTTTGCACTAAGGTGTTTATAATATATGTAATTTCAGAAAAAAAAGATCATGAGAACACTAGACTAATATTACCTTCTGTTTGGCTATATGGCTTCAGCTCTCACATGGTATGTGCCTGTG